CCGACTCGGCTTGTCTGACCTTGCACTTGCTCATCCATCCGTCCATCCCACCGGAATCTCCCGGCCTCCTCACGTAAGGCTCTCACCCTGCGGGAGCCTCTGGCGGACTCCTCTACCACTGGTGGGTGTACCCGGTAGTCGCGACCTGGTCTCGGTACACTCCAAGTCCATCCCCACCATCAGGGGCCCTAGTGAACAAGTGATCCGGGACTTAGACTCCGCGCTCTGGGGAAACCTGACCAGTGGGTTGCTAGAGGTGCCGCCAGGTGGTCCCTTACAGTACCATATGGCCATGACAGAGTCTGGAGGAGGACCTTCCCCATTGGAGGACATATGCCAGCACTTAGCGGCCCTGACCCAAGCCGTTACGTCACTCCAAGATAAGTATACCCATCTGGTAAGCCGTTTTCAGACATTGACAGTATCTGACAATACCTCCCAGGCCCCGGTCTATCCCACCCCGTCTGGGGACACTCCTGGGCCAGCCACAGGTGCTTCTGCCATGCTCCCTACGGCCGAACCCCGTGTTCCCCTGCTGGAACGTTTTCGTGGAGACCGTGCACGTTTTAGGGCCTTCCGGAACTCCTGTCTCCTTTACTTTGACCTGCAGCCACGTACGTTCACTACCGAGTCGGTTAAAGTGGGGTTCATAATTTCCTTGCTCCAGGATGAACTCCAGGATTGGGCCCATCGGTTAATGGAGAACCGTGACCCGCAACTAGAGACGGTAAAAAACTTTTTTGAAGCAATGGCCATACTTTACGATGCCCGCAGCAGGCAGCTTCCGCCGAATCAGCCCTATACTCCCTTAGACAGGGCCGCCGGGCGGCAGAAGAATATGCTTCGGAATTTAGATGGTGGATGTGGGGGATACGCGGTGGAATGATACCGCCCTGCATCACCAATTCCGCATTGGGCTTTCTGAAGCTTTAAAAGACGAGCTGGCCCGAGTGGGCCTGCCTGAATCCCTGGAAGATCTTATTTCCCTGGCGATTCAAATTGACCGTAGGTTGCGGGAACGTAGGTCTGAGAGGTCCAGCCAGGGTCAGGAAATTACATGGGCCCCGGTCCGGGGGGCAGGCCATCCCACAACGGCAGATAGCCAGACTCCTGTTCCAGTGGATACCCAAGAGCCCATGCAGCTGGGCCTGGCTCGGCATACACTATCTCCTGAGGAATGCCAGCGAAGACGATCCAAAAACCTCCCCCTTTACTGTGGAGAAGCCAGTCACATGGTGCGGTCCTGTCCTCTGAAAATGAGTAAGTTTACCTCTTCCTTTTCTTGTCTGTTGGGGATGTTAGACAGCCCAGTTACTTAGCTGTACCCCTCTTCTTCCAGCTTCCAGGAAGAACCGTGGAGGTGACGGCTATAATTGACTCAATGGCATGCAGTTGCTTTTTGGATCTAGACTTCGCACGTCAGCAGGAGATCCCCCTACAACTCAGGAAACAGGGTCTTAACTTATTTCTGGCTGATGGTGTCTTGGAAATTCGTTTTCAACTAATTTTTCCTTACCGTGAATAGCTCTTTTGAGATGTGGGGAAAAATGGAGCTCCCGTGACCCAGGAATAATCAGATAATACTCTCAGGTTGGAGGTTGAATTCACTCTCACTCTGTGTCTGGCTCTAACCCCAGACTCTTGTTTTATTAAAAGCACACACACGCCCCCCCCACACAGGGGGTCAGGTCAATCCCCTCCCACAGAACAATGTATAGGGGGTGTCTATACATGAGAATGTACATCCTGTTTGGAGTGTAGCATTTCCTCTTATCTATACTGAAAACCAGTTAAACCAGTCCTCCCCTCCCCCATAAGCTCTCTGTGGAGAGCAAGCTTCCCATCCTTTACATGCTATCAGCTCCTAGTAGTATGTTCACTCTCTGTACAAGCATCCCTTAGATTAAATAGTGCCAGTCTGTATCTGAATGGGCCCGATACGATCTTTATTAAAACACATCCATCCAGATACAGTTCAGGTCTGTAGTGGCTTGTAAGATATACATGAGCCTACATGCGGATTTCGCACTGCCCGGCGCCTGGCCATACGAACTCCATGTGGTACTGTGCTGCTGATATGTGGATACAGGCCCGCGGCCTACCGCCGGCGGCATTCGCATACGAATGCGAATGCCGTGGTGGTATACACGCCGGTCTATAAGTGCAGATCTGCCATCTCATCCATTACCAAGCTGAGTACTGTAATATATACATTGTAAATGCGCATGGCCTAATTGCAGCCTTCAGAGCTTTAATTAAGCCACACGAGAGACATATGAATAACACTAATATATGACACATTTAAAGTTCAACCTGTAAATAGAAAATTTCCATGACATTGGTTCCCGGATTAGGTCGGGGTTGGTTGATCAGGAGACCCCTCTTATTCCTACCACCATAGCAGGTCAACACCGGGAACTCCTGCGTTTAGACGCCCTCGCGTCACCCCTTTTCCCAGTTATTTTGGGGCTCCCGTGGTTGCAGGCACACAACCCCCAAATTGACTGGGAGACCGGGTCTGTTCAGTTCCACTCTTCATACTGTCAGGAACACTGTCGCGCTTTGGGTCCCACAACTCCCCAGGTTCTTCTGTGCTCTGAAGGGGACCCCAGCTTAAGACAAGTCATTCTGGCGGCCTACCATGGCTATCTGGATGTCTTCAGCAAACAATGGGCAGACTCCCTGCCTCCTCACCGCCCGTATGATTGCCCTATTGATCTGTTACCAGGTTCCGAAATTCCCTTCGGTCGAATTTTTCCCTTGTCCGAGTTAGAATTGGGGGTCCTTAAGGACTACATTGATGAGAATCTCCAAAAGGGGTACATTCGCCCCTCAACTTCACCAGCAGGGGCTGGAACTTTCTTTGTAGAAAAAAAAGATAAATCCCTGAGACCCTGCATTGATTACCGCGAACTAAATAAGGTCACGATTAAGAATCACTACCCTTTGCCCCTGGTCCCAGAACTCTTCCAGAGCCTGAAAACCGCAGCTATTTTTACTAAGCTAGATCTGAGAGGTACATACAATTTGGTTCGTATAAGGGAGGGGTACGAGTGGAAGACTGCATTTTGCACTCGTTTTGATCACTTCGAGTACCTGGTCATGCCATTTCAACTCTGCAATGCCCCGGTCATGTTCCAACATTTTGTTAATGACATATTCAGGGACTACCTTGATGTCTTCGTAATTGTCTACCTGATATTTTCACCCTCACTGGAGGCTCATAGGGATCATGTGGCAAGGGTCTTAGAACGATTACGCCTACATGGGCTATACGCCAAGGCTGTCAAGTGCAGTTTCGAACAGCACAGCATTGCCTTTCTGGGACTGATCATCTCCACCACGGGGGTCGCGATGGATCCCCAAAAAATCTCGGCAATTCTGGATTGGCCAATTCCCGCAGATAAGAAGGGCGTCCAGTGTTTTGTTGGATTCGCTAACGTCTACATGAAATTTATTAAGAATTTCTCGGGTCTGGTCTCCCCCATAACACAATTAACCAAACAGGAAACCCGCTTTAAGTGGACGCTGGAGGCCCAGGCGTCCTTTGAAGCCCTAAAAAACCTGTTTACCACGGCACCCATTTCTCGGTCATCCAGACGCCTCCTTGCCTTATGTTCTGGAAGTGGATGCATCTGAAAATGCAGTGGGGTCAATCCTATCCCAGAGGAAGGGCACCAAGGAACTTCTGCACCCTGTGGCATTTTTCTCAAGGAAACTTACTCCGGCCAAAAGGAACTACGATATTGGCGATCGAGAATTATTGGCCATTAAAACGGCATTTGAAGAATGGAGATATCTGTTAGAAGGAGCCACGCACCCGATCTTGATCTTCACAGATCATAAAAATTTAGAGTATTTGAGAATGGCAAAGCGCTTGCGACCGCGCCAGGCGAGATGGGCGCTCTTCTTTTCTCGATTCTCATTCCACATAACATACAGACCTGGTTCCAAGAACACGAAGCCCAATGCTCTCTCGCGCATGTTTGAGGATCCTAAGGAAGAGCCAAGATCTGATACCATTCTTTCTTCAGGAAACTTCCTGGCCCTCCAAACGGAACTACGTTCTAAATTACAGGACGCATCTATGGCTATGGCCACCCCATCTGGGGTACCCCCTCTAGAACAAGGGTGGACTCTTATGGAAAGAGGGGTTAATCGTGGTGCCAGAAGAGGTTCAAACATTGGTCCTGGGACATTGCCACGATCATCCGATGGCAGGACACTTCGGGCTGGCAAAGACTCTTGAACTGCTCAAACGCACATTTTAGTGGCTAAACATGACCAGAGACTGCGAGTGCTATGTCAAATCCTGTGCCGTTTGTCAAAGGAACAAGCCTCCTAGGAGCAAGGCCTGGGGGCTGCCCACTAGCTGTCAGGGCTCCCGGGTATAACCAGAGGTGTGTGACTGACGCAGGGAAACGCAGACTTCAGATAAGTTATAAACAATTTATTAACACTAACAATACAAACATAAACGCAGTGCAATACTAAAACATAACACAGTGCAAACGAACCAAACCAAACCACCCACAGATAACAGTACATGCAGTGCAAGCGTCAGGCAGGCCGGGTCAATCGGGCAGGTAGGTACAGGGGGAGCAAGCGGAGAATAGTCAGGTCACGAGCAGGGTACAGCAACTAACAGGCAGGTAGGTACAGGGGGTCAGGCAGAGAATGGTCGGGGTCACAAGCCAGGGATCAGAACAGGAGAAGTCAGCAGAGGTCAGAATCAAGCCGGGTCAGCAACAAGACAGGAACAGGAGCAGGATGCAGGATGCAGGAACAAGATACAGGGCCCAGGAAAAACACAACACCAAGGCAGAGTCTGCAGGTCTGAATGTCCCTTAAATACACCAGTATAATTAGTTCCAGGTGTTTGACTGGCTGCAAGGTTGAGTCTCTGATTGCTGGGAGCACCCGCTGGCCAGCCCTGGTACTGCAGCTCACAAGGCAGGTGAGTCCCACTATTGCTGGCCAGTCCATTCCTGACAGTACCCCCCCCTCAAGGAGCGGCCTCAGGACGCTCCAAACAGTCCTAGCTGGGCAAAATGTTCCACCGCCCGGGTCTGGTAACTGGCGGGATATCAAAAACTGGCACACCGGGCAGGACTCCGGGCAGCGGCACCCCGGGCAGGACTCCTGGCAGCGGCACACCGGGCAGGCACATCGGGCTGGACTCCGGGCAGAGGCACATCGGGCTGGACTCCGGGCAGAGGCACATCGGGCTGGACTCCGGGCAGAGGCACATCGGATTACCAGGTGAAGCAGCAGGCACCGGGCCCCCAGGCGGGGCGACAGGCACCGGGCCCCCAAGCGGAGCGGCGGGCGCCGGGCCCCCAGGAGGGGCGACAGGCATCGGGCCCCCAGGCAGGGCGACAGGCATTGGGCCCCCAAGCGGAGCGGCGGGCGCCGGGTCCCCAGGCGGAGCGACAGGTCTCGGGCCCCCAGGCGGAGCGGCGGGCGCCGGACCCCCAGGCGGAGCGACAGGTCTCGGGCCCCCAGGCGGAGCGGCGGGCGCCGGACCCCCAGGCGGAGCGACAGGTCTCAGGCCCCCAGGCGGAGCGGCGGGCGCCAGACCCCCAGGCAGAGCGACAGGTCTCGGGCCCCCAGGCGGAGCGGCGGGCGCCGGACCCCCAGGCGGAGTGACAGGTCTCAGGCCCCCAGGCGGAGCGACAGGTCTCAGGCCCCCAGGCGGAGCGACAGGTCTCAGGTCCCCAGGCGGAGCGACAGGTCTCAGGTCCCCAGGCGGAGCGAACAGGTCTCAGGTCCCCAGGCGGAGCGACAGGTCTCAGGCCCCCAGGCGGAGCGACGGGGTCTCAGGCCCCCAGGCGGAGCGACAGGTCTCAGGCCCCCAGGCGGAGCGACAGGTCTCAGGCCCCCAGGCGGAGCGACAGGTCTCAGGCTCCCAGGCGGAGCGACAGGTCTCAGGCCCCCAGGCGGAGCGGCGGGCGCCGGACCCCCAGGCGGAGCGACAGGTCTTGGGCCCCCAGGCGGAGCGGCGGGCACCGAGTCACCAGGCACGACAGTGGGCACCGAGTCGTCTGGCAAGACTGCGGGCACCGAGTCGTCTGGCAAGACTGCGGGCACCGAGTCAACTGGCGGAACAGCGGGCATCGAGTCAACTGGCGGAACTGCGGGCACTGAGTCGTCTGGCAAGACTGTGGGCACCGAGTCGTCTGGCAAGACTGCGGGCACCGAGTCGTCTGGCAAGACTGCGGGCACCGAGTCAACTGGCGGAACAGCGGGCATCGAGTCAACTGGCGGAACTGCGGGCACCGAGTCGTCTGGCAAGACTGTGGGCACCGAGTCGTCTGGCAAGACTGCGGGCACCGAGTCATCTGGCAAGACTGCGGGCACCGAGTCGTCTGGCGGAACAGCGGGCACCGAGTCAACTGGCGGAACAGCGGGCACCGAGTCGTCTGGCAAGACTGCGGGCACCGAGTCATCTGGCAAGACTGCGGGCACCGAGTCGTCTGGCAAGACTGCGGGCACCGAGTCAACTGGCGGAACAGCGGGCACCGAGTCGTCTGGCAAGACTGCAGGCACCGAGTCGTCTGGCAAGACTGCGGGCACTGAGTCGTCTGGCAAGACTGCGGGCACCGAGTCGTCTGGCAAGACTGCGGGCACAGAGTCAACTGGCGGAACAGCGGGCATCGAGTCAACTGGCGGAACAGCGAGCACCGAGTCGTCTGGCAAGACTGCGGGCACCGAGTCGTCTGGCAAGACTGCGGGCACCGAGTCGTCTGGCAAGACTGCGGGCACCGAGTCAACTGGCGGAACAGCGGGCACCGAGTCGTCTGGCAAGACTGTAGGCACCAAGTCGTCTGGCAAGACTGCGGGCACCGAGGCGTCTGGCAAGACTGCGGGCACCGAGTCGTCTGGCAAGACTGCGGGCACCGAGTCAACTGGCGGAACAGCGGGCATCGAGTCAACTGGCGGAACTGTGGACACCGAGTCGTCTGGCAAGACTGCGGGCACCGAGTCCTCTGGCAAGACTGCGGGCACCAAGTCGTCTGGCAAGACTGCGGGCACCGAGTCAACTGGCGGAACAGTGGGCATCGAGTCAACTGGCGGAACTGCGGGCACCGAGTCGTCTGGCAAGACTGCGGGCACCGAGTCGTCTGGCAAGACTGCGGGCACCGAGTCGTCTGGCGGAACAGCGGGCATCGAGTCAACTGTCGGAACAGCGGGCACCGAGTCGTCTGGCAAGACTGCGGGCATCGAGTCGTCTGGCAAGACTGCGGGCACCGAGTCGTCTGGCAAGACTGCGGGCACCGAGTCAACTGGCGGAACAGCGGGCACCGAGTCGTCTGGCAAGACTGCGGGCACCGAGTCGTCTGGCAAGACTGCGGGCACCGAGTCAACTGGCGGAACAGCGGGCACCGAGTCAACTGGCGGAACAGCGGGCACCGAGTCGTCTGGCAAGACTGCGGGCACCGAGTCGTCTGGCAAGACTGCGGGCACCGAGTCGTCTGGCAAGACTGCGGGCACCGAGTCGTCTGGCAAGACTGCGGGCACCGGATCAGGTACCGGATTATCTGGATCAACAGCGGGCATCGAGTCAACTGGCCTAATAGGATCATCACGCTGGATCAGTTCATTATGCTGGGTAGAAGCATCCGGCTGAGTAGAGGCATCCGGCTGAGTAGAGGCTTCAGGCTGAGGAGAGGCATCAGGCTGAAGAGAGGCATCAGGCTGAAGAGAGGCATCAGGCTGAGTAGAGGCATCCGGCTGAGTAGAGGCATCCGGCTGAGTAGAGGCTTCAGGCTGAGTAGAGGCTTCAGGCTGAGTAGAGGCTTCAGGCTGAGTACAGGCATCAGGCTGAGTACAGGCATCAGGCTGAAGAGAGGCATCAGGCTGAACCACGGAAGGCAGGTTCTCAGACGGTAGGCTCACCGGTTTGGATACTGGCAGGATGGTACTGGTTGGAAAGAATTTTCGCTTTTTTCTGGTTTTAACTACTGGGGCACTGCAAGTAAACGCAGGTCTGCAAATGAATGGAGCAGCTGGAGACAGAGAAGAGCTGGAGGATGGAACAGGGGAAGGAACAGTCGCTACAGAGGGCTTCTTTACAGGGTTAAAGGCAAGATAGGTGCAGCGAGTGGGAACACGGTACTGACATGCGGTAGATAGCCAAGTATACTGGGCTGTAACTGGAGGAGCTGTTGGGAATACAGGAGTAGAGCTTTGAGGAGATAGATTAGAAGCAGGACTGGGTTTTTGTAAGCTGACTGAGGCTGGGTGTAACAAATCTGTCCATGTCTGCAGTATGGGTTGAACAAAGCTGAGCTTACACAAAGCCTGTCTGACCAAAGACTGCACTGCGTTTATACAATCTCTTAGTACCTGTGGTGAACATGTGGAATAACGCTCCAGAAAGTAACCCATATCATCCTCTAATAACCATACCAGGGACTCTACCTGGTCTGCACTAAATGGTGGCAAAAATTCATCCCTGCATTCGGGGGTACCAGATGAAACCAACTCAGCACAAACCTCAATCAATGGCTGCACCTCAGAGAACTCTGTGCCCTGATCTACTAGAACATGAGCGAGCCGTATACATTCTAGCAGTTCATCCCGGGTATACTCCTTCAGAGTTTGATAAGCATACTCCCTGTCATCAAACACTAGCAGATATAAATAGGCAACCTCATCCAGATCCATCCTTCCCATCAACAAACCAAGATGGCTTCCCTGTGCAGCCACTTCTGGTCAGGATTGGCCTTGGTGTAATGTCAGGGCTCCCGGGTATGACCAGAGGTGTGTGACTGACGCAGGGAAACGCAGACTTCAGATAAGTTATAAGCAATTTATTAACACTAACAATACAAACATAAACGCAGTGCAATACTAAAATATAACACAGTGCAAACGAACCAAACCAAACCACCCACAGATAACAGTACATACAGTGCAAGCGTCAGGCAGGCCGGGTCGGGCAGGGGGAGCAAGCGGAGAATAGTCAGGTCACCAGCAGGGTACAGCAACTAACAGGCAGGTAGGTACAGGGGGTCAGGCAGAGAATGGTCGGGGTCACAAGCCAGGGATCAGAACAGGAGAAGTCAGCAGAGGTCAGAATCAAGCCGGGTCAGCAACAAGACAGGAACAGGATGCAGGAACAAGATACAGGGCCCAGGAAAAACACAACACCAAGGCAGAGTCTGCAGGTCTGAATGTCCCTTAAATACACCAGTATAATTAGTTCCAGGTGTTTGACTGGCTGCAAGGTTGAGTCTCTGATTGCTGGGAGCACCCGCTGGCCAGCCCTGGTACTGCAGCTCACAAGGCAGGTGAGTCCCACTATTGCTGGCCAGTCCATTCCTGACACTAGCTATACCCGACCGGCCATGGCAAATGATTGCAATGGACTTCATAGTCGAACTTCCTCCGCCCCAGGGCCACACCGCAATCTTCGTGATCGTAGACGGCCTGTCAAAAATGGCCCACTTCTTACCCCTGAAGAGTACACCATCGGCTTTCGAGACCACACATTCATTCGAGAAGTGGTTAGGTTGCACGGAGTACCAGAAGATATCGTCTCGGACCAAGGAGTGCAGTTTACCTCCAAATTCTGGAAAGCTTTATGTAAGGCACTGGGTATCAAATTGTCCCTCTCCTCCGCTTTTCACCCACAGACCAATGGACAGACGGAAAGGACCAACCAGACACTGGAACAGTATCTGAGATGCTACAAGGCCTTTCTGCAGGATAATTGGCTGGCGCTCTTACCTTTGGCAGAGTTTGCCTACAATAATTCAAACACGGGGCAATCCCCATTTTTTTCGAATTACGGATTTCACCCCACTTTTTTTTACCCGATCTGTTCGCTGAGAGTTCAGTTCCAGCTACTCAAAGCACCCTCACTTTTTTCTCCACCAACAATAAGTTGCTTCAGGAAGCCATTTCTAGAGCCCAGGAAGATAACAAGAGGGCCTTTGACAAGAAGCGAAGGGGGGGAACTGGTGCTGCAACCCGGGGACTTAATGTTGGCGTCATATGAAAGATCTCCTGTAGAAAGGCCACGTCTATAGAGTGTCGATACACTTCCCTCAGTATCTTGTGTCTTTTGGGTGGGGTATTCAGACCTTTCACATTATAGGTCAAAATATTATTCATACTCATATCTAATATTTCTCTCTTAAATCTACTTTTCCACTTATAGGTAGGAAAACCATAACTATTTGACTCATGGAAAGTTCCACCCCCAGTCTCCCCCCCCACCTCCCCAATCCCCTCCCTATCCCATCCCTCCCTTCCTGGCCTATGTATTGCCCTAGAATCTGGACCCCCCCACTAGCGATTCTTATTTTGGGGTATGACATACCCCTCATATGAGCATATACACTATTTTTGGCCCCCTATTCCCAACATGGTGAGTTTTCCTTTCTTTCAGCTATATCGAGGCCTAAGGGAGCTCCAGACACCCTCTACAACTATAATTCTTACTCATACTTTTTCTCTAAATTCCTATGAAGGATCTCAGGCATGGCTGACGAGCGGGGCTTAGAGAGTGGAGGAAGAGAGAGAGAAAAAAAAAAAGGGGGACGAGAAATAAATCACCTCATTCCATCTTCCCCTCCCCATTCCCCGAACCCCATCCATCTAATTTTTCCTTAAATTAACTTGCTGCCAATTCTCACTTCTAATTGACCTCTCATTGGTCTCCTCTGACCACCCTACTATATCCACATACTGCAAATCTAATTTTTCATAGAAGTCTCTTAAATCCTCCGGGAATCTCAATCTTGCAGATTTCTCTACCCAGGCAGGCCAGGAACTCCCAATTATACCAAACTCCCTACTCTTTCAACTGATCCAGCAATGGCCCCAGAACTCTTCTTCTGGATAGAGTCTCAGGAGCAAAAATTTACAAAATTCGTTTCTCCAAATTTTATCAGTAATTTCAGGTAACTTTTTCCATATTCTCTCTTTCTTCATAGTTATGAAAATGCACAATCACATTTCTTGGGGTCTCTGACTATCTTCCCGGCAGGCATCTAATTCTATGTACTCTCTCCATTTTTAAAAGGTCCGTACCTGTTCTTTCTAATAGGGGGTTAAGTACACTTTTTATTTTTTTCCCGGCAAATCCTCTTCTCCTGTATCCTCTGGTAGTCCCCCC